GAGGTTGGTTTTTCTAGCCTCGGGACTGAGCAGCTCCCTCCCCATCACTCTTCCTCCCCTTCCCACTCACCGGGAGGTCAGCTTCGGGGAACGCCAGCCTGGGGATGGAGTCGGAGAAGATTGTGGGTGCCTTAAAAGCAGTGGAGAGTATTGAACCTGAGTGATGTGTGTGTGTGCCTGGCCCGAATAACAGCAGCTGCTATAAAGAAGTTCTGCAGAGCTTTAAAACCAAAGGAAACCCATTTTCCAGTCTCGAGCATCTTGACAGCACGGATGAGCGCTTTGCATGACACCAATGCCAGGTAGGACTTTGCCGTAGATGCAAACGACCAAAGCGGCAGATCACGACCCGGGTTGAAGGTGTTTTATAGGAAATATTTGCCTCGGAAAGTGATTTAAACCCGAGGCGGGCAGAGAAACCACCAGCGGAGGTGACTTTTTGCTGACCGGTGCTGGATGGGGAGGGCTGGCAGAGGTACATCGTCCCCGCACGGAGCAGCGCTGCTCGCCGCCCGCTTCCCCCTTTCCTTCTGGCACCGGGTTATTTTCAGCTTTATGAAGCAACTGTAGCCCAGTGTGCTAACGGGAGGTGATGACAGCTTGGTAGGTAGGGCCGGCGGTGCTGACAGCTTGTAGCGTTACACCTTCCCCAGGAAAATTGCGGCAATCACCTGGCAGGGTGGGAAAAAAAAAAAAGAAAAAAAAAAGTGTTTGCGCAAAAGCTGTGATCACCGTGGGGATCACGGTCCTGCTAATATTTATTCTAGCAGATCCACCGTGTTTGCAGGGACGTGTTTCGGGGAAAAGCTCGCAGCTGGGTATTTTACGAGGGGAAGAGTTACACGAAGAAATGTTGCTGCGGGATTTCTCCAGCTTGCTTGCTGGTGGGGCTGCTAGCCTCCAGCCCTTGTCCCCCACGGGGACACATGCTCAAGGGGAGTAAAAACCTGCGGAAAAGGGTGGATGTGGGGGGTGAGTCAGCTCTTGCAGCCTTCCCGGCTTTTAGCCTTGGTCCCCGCATGGTGCGGGAAGGAGATGTAGCCCGAGCTTGGTCACCACCACGCAAGAAGGGCTTTGCTCTGAAGGTCAGCTGGCAGCCCTGCAGCTCATTCCGAGTGGCCAAGGGTTTCTTATTTGTATATTTAGATGATTTTTTTAGGTGCTCACTTTAGCAACGTCTCATTTTCTTCCTCTCCCTGGGGGATTGCCCAGCATGCTGGATTGCTGCAGCTTCAGGGAGAGTTGGGGGAAGACAAACCAGCACCTCAAATGGTCAGAAATAGGTTATTGTGGTTGTGAGTAAATGTATTTTGGGTGGAAGGTACATTACAGATGCTGGCTGGGTGAAGTCAGGATGGCCAGAAGCATCTCCCAGAAGCCACCAGATCTGGGAGGGTGTCTGGATTCCCGTGGTTTCCTTGAGACCAACAGCGTCTGAGATGCGTGACACCGCTTTCGGTCTGGGGCTGAAGGACAAGGGTGTGCAGAAGCTCGGGGGGGGCCCAGGGCTGCCTGGCCATGGGGAACAAGCGCCGCATTGTGCCACCAAAACTGCTCTTTGGCCGATATCAATAGAAGACTTGACTAGCCAGTTTTGCCAGCTCAGCACTTCAGCACGCGCTAAATTCACCCAATAAATAAAAAATGAGTAAAAAAAACTCCTGACGGGCTGAGAACAGACGCTACATTGACGGTGGTGGCTGATCCACCGCTGCTCCGCGGCCAGCGCAGGCGATGCTGGCTCGGTTATCACCATCTTGGGGCAACCCATTCCCAAAAAGTTCGTCCCCGCAGAGCCGACTCTGGCTGCGCGGCAGCCGTCCCCCCCGCCGGGAAGGTGAGGCGTGGGATTTTGCAGCAGCCGGTGAAAGCTTCTTCCGAGCCGAGCGCTGGGAAACCTGCGTCAGAGGGAGTAATTCTGCCCAGCACCCGCACGTGGCCTTCCTCCGCAAGTGACTGGAAGCAACAGGACTATCGGAAGGGTTTTTCCATTCTCTTGCGGGGAAGGTAAAAATATTGCCTGGAATGACTCAAGGCTGTACATGGAAAATGTTGGGTTGCAGCATAGGTGGATTTGAGCAGGGAAAATGAGGCTATTGGCTTGATTATCTTGCCAAAGTCCAATAAAATGCAAAATTTCCCTGAAAGTCAAGTACCTTCATGGCTCTTTCTCAGAGATGTGTTCAAGCTCAGAAACACTTTTTGTTTGGATGGGAAGAGCGTGCTGTGGACCAGTTTAGTCGCTCTCCAGGTTGCATCCTCCTTCATTCTTCATTACAGGCATCACCCGTCTCCTTCTTTGAAGCGCTGTAGAGCATCTTCCATCCTCGCAGGATGCTCTAGCCCACCCGCAGCAGCCTGGCATGCCCGCGCCTGGGAAGCACCGGAGCCAGAAGATGAGCTCAATTAGCAGAAGGAGAAAAATTAACGTTCTCAGAAGTGCCAGAGTTTTGTTTGTAGAAGGGATTTGCACTTCTGAGAGGGCTGTTGACTTTCAGGAGACTTAGGCTTTCAAGTGCCTAAATCACTGTTGGAAATACGCTTGCAAATTTTTTTAAGTACTTAGAAAATATTTCTTCTATGTCCTCAGGCCTTCTTCAAGCACAGTGGTAATTACAAGTTGTCCATTAACCACAACGTGCAGATCTCTGCTTGAAGCTGTTACGCATTCAGCACCTAGAAGGCAGACCACATGGAGAGGCACGGCTTGTATTTAAAAAAATACGAGAAGGATGACGTGGGCGCTGGGTGCAGTTGCATTTTTAAAGGACAAATGCCTGTTTTTTCATGTGGGCTTGGGTCTTGTGGGTTTTTGGAAGGTTTCAGAGACCGAAGGCCATGTTGAAATGTAGCCCCCCCAGGTTGGGCAACTCCTCCTTGGGCAGCAGGAATTTCTCCTTTGAGATACAGCAGCCACTGCGTCATCTCCTGCAACAACTCGTTTGACCATGGTGCGTCATTTAGCGCAGCGCCCAAAGCCTCTCAGCAACGTGTGGTCAGTGGGTACGAATTCAGCACAAGTACCTTTGATTTCTTAAGAAATGATTGGCGTGTGAAGTAGGTAGAGCTTTGACCTGCATCCCTCAGGAGGTATGTAAAGGGGTGATATTTGCTTCATTTACAGCCTGGGGTAAGTTATTTTGGCGGAGTTACTCCCAGCTTCCCTGGATTTGAAAGAAAAAAACCCTCAAACAAATATGCATAAATTCCCCGGGAACATCAGTGGGGATGTTCGGAGCAAGGCTGCGTCTTCAGGCTGCGTGTTTGGTCCTGAATTGCGCCGCAGCTCACACAGGCAGCAGCCCTGTCACTCCGTGTGACCGATGCTCTGTTGGGTACCGATGCTCTCCTGGCTATTCCAGCTTCAGTCTGGCCCAGGTTTTTGGAGAGAGGGTGTGATGGAAACAGCACCAGGGTTTGCCTTCCCCCGGATAAATGACTGCAAGAGACCCAAAGAGCTCTCCTACACCCTCCTGCTATCCCCAGGCAACCCAACATCCATGTTAGTTTAACGACATTTGTCTAACCTGTATTGACGGGTTCTGGTGATGAGGTTTTACAGCTTTCAGAAATCTTTTAGCAGTGCTCCAGGATCTTTATTGTTGGAAACAATACACCCTCCTACACACCCCTGTTGCTGTCTCCAGCCTAAACCCCACTTTTTTCCTAAACTGTTCCTCGGAGGTTGCCTCGTCTGGACTGACCAACTTCTTGCTGATCCGGACTCCCAAAGAGCTGCCGGCATCTGCAGATTTAACCCTACCAGACAGCTTGTTCAAGAAAATACTGACTGATGCCAGGCACCGGTGAAGCCTCTGGGGAATCCCACCTGATCCATATTTCCACCAAGACACGAGCTACCCATAACTTATCCTGGCGTGTAGTTTTTCTCCTACAAACAAACGTAAGGAGGAGGGGAGTGCTGATGCTCGTGTGCTCATACCTATTTATTGATGTGGTTTCTGAGGATTTGGGGGCCATAGATCAGGTGAGCATCTTCAGCTAATGAAGGAACCGCCTTGCCCCTGGGTATTTATTGGATTCAGATTCAGGGCAATCGAGTGGGATGTGGCCGGGCCAGGTGTCTGTGAAGCAAGCGCACCATCGCACGCTCGCTTGTGCGCTGGCTCTTGCGAGAAGCTTGCACAAGCTGCTGAGCTACCCCACGGTCTTCTCCTGCTCAGAGCACACGCTCTGTTATTTCCATTGACCATATTATTTCCATTGGCATTCACTAATGAGGATTTAGTTTGCTTTTTTGAAAAACAACCTGGGTAAAAGGCATGCCCCGTCAGGTAGGCACACTTGTGGTCAGGTGGCATCTCCGAGAGCTTGTGCGTGTTCTGCTGCAGAGGGTTTTGAACGCCTGTGAGCAACTGTTGGGTTTTGAAACAATTTTGAAGACGTGACAGCACAAAAACTATATCAAGTTTCTGGCCAAGGCAACCAGCCACGGAGCCTCTTCATTAGAGAGAGCAGGGACAGAGAAGTGACCTTGCATGGTTTTAATAAGGGAGGATGGCCATGAGCCATCGCAGCGGCGGGTTTAGCAGTACATGAGCTCCAGCTGCTCAAAGAAGGGACTGAAGTTTCTCTTAGCTAATTGAATAAATGGAGTTGTTGGAAACATTGATTTACTTTTGGCGAAGAGCTCTGTCCTGCCTTACACGCGCGACTGGGAGACGCGTGGGGTGGAGGTGGTGGTGGGTCCGATCCAGACCGGGGTGGGGGGTTGATGCCACCACAGGTTGCAGGGGCAGGATTGGCGCAGGACCTGCCATGGATGGGGACGTTGGGATGATTTGCTCCCGGGGACCCGGCGGCTGCGAGCCGAGCGTTTCTACCGATCCGCTTGCTGTCTGCTGGGATGGCGGGTGGGGGCTCGCAAGTTTGGGGGTCGGCGGGACTCTCGGCTCTTCTAGCCCAGCGCAACTTCAGGATTCCCTCCGGTCCCCGTCCCCACGCCTGTCTCAGCTGCCTCTTTCCCCTTGCCTTTGCAGAACCGCCAGACTTTCGACAGCCTTACCTGCCTTAGCGCCACGGCCGAGGATGGCTCCCAGAGGCTCCCCGGTCCCCAGCCATGGACCGCGGCCCCCCGCTCCCCGGAGGTGATGCCGGGCAGGACCCCCGCCTGCACCCCGGTCCCGGAGCCGCCGCGTTCGCGGGCCGACGAGCGCCGGGCCAGCCGGGACGACCTCTCCTGCGAGGAGGAGGAGGAGGGCGGCGGGAAGGAGGAAGACGGGGCGGTGTGGCGGAGCGGTGGGACGGGCGCTGAGAGCCTCTTCCAGCTGGATGGCGAGATAGATATCGAGCAGATAGAAAACAACTGAGGAGGGAGCGGGGTCCGCTCGCCCCCGGGGTCGGGGGGCTGCCGGCGGAGCCGTGGAGGGCTCCCCGCTGCCGGCGGCCGGGTTTGCGGGGTCCTGCCACCGCTCTCCTCCTGCCAGCTGGAGGGGACGAAGCAGCTTTGCCAAAATTTCATCAGGTATTTAGAGCAATTTGTGTGCGTGCGTGTGTAAATCTTGAAATTCTTTGTAACTACTGTAGTCAGAGATCAGCTAGTCGGAGGAAACCGCCTGCCCGACTGGGGAAACCAGGCACAGGGATCGCCAAAAACTCGCGTTTAGCGAGTAAATGGCTTTTGCCAACGTAGGGTTGGAGCTGATGGGGCTGGCCACGCTCCCCCGGGTCCCACCTGCGCTTGTTCGGAAAGGGATGCACAAGGAGAAACCACCACCCATGGGACTGGAAAAAGTGGGGGAAAACCAGAATACTGAGATTTGCAAACCGAGCACTGGCTGGTGGCTGCAGGGGCGGCTGCGGCTCCTCTCTTGCTGCATCCCACGCAGCCCCGGCACCCCCCACGTCCCTGGCAGTGCCGTGAGAGGGAAATCACAAAAGTGAAGTGTTTTGCTTAAATTTAATAATGGTAAGAGCTGGATTTTTACTTCTTTTTTTTTTTTTTCTTTAATTTTCCTTTTCCTAATAAGGAATTAAAGGGACCCCTGGCTCACACAGCTCCAATGCCGGTGGCATCCGCAGCAGCGCTTGGCGGGCGCTGCCTGAGGATGCTCAAATGCCTTTCCTCCCTATTTTTTTTCCTTCCCAATCCCCTCTCTCAAACCCATCGGGGAAAAAGCCCCGATCAGGCTCGGTGCCACCCTCGCTTGGGTTCCCAACACCCAGTTTTGAGCAGGGCTGGGCTGTTTACCCATTTACCAGCAGCTGTGCCCGCTTTGCTACCCGAGGCACGGCTGCCACCCTCTTTTTTTTGGCTCTGTCTTACTGTGAAGGGGCTGTGCGCCCGAGGCACGCCGCGGGGTTACTTGACAAAAAGTCAGCTGGCAAAAGGCTGAAAATCCAGGTAGCAGCACTGAAAGCTTTTTCCTCTTCCTGTGCCTTTTTTAAGCACAGATAAAGTGGTGACCATTACGTTTGTACGATATGAATTCTCTTTGGTAAAAATAAGCTGTCCACTTGCTAACAGGTTTAGAAGGACATTTTTTTTTTTTGCCCATTTTTTTGTTTTGGTTTGTTTGTTTGTTTAAAGCTCTAGGAAAGCTGTACGAGTGGCTTCCAGCATCTTCTGCAGGTTCCCTCAAGCTCAGGGTTTACTTCCCGAGCTCTGCAAAAGCGAGAAAGGAAAAAAAAAAGTCCTTGATACCAACAGCAATTGAAGACATGATATTTTTAGCGGGGTTTGGCACCCCTGTTGGCAAAGCTTTAGGAGTCAATAACTCAGAAGGTGCTGAGAGCCATTGGTACAGGTTTTATTCATCATTTCTGGTTATGTTGGTGCACTTTTTTTCTGCGGTGGTTCGGGACGCGTGTGGCGTCTCCCATCACAGCGGAACCCATCAGCCATTATATAGCTTTATCCCTGTCCTGGCACCGCAGAGGCTTTGCTCGCTGCAGTGCCCACGTCCTCTCCCTCCAGGCCGGGTTCACGGCAGGCAGGGCCAGCCCCAAATATTTAGGGAAGGGATAACAGGGATGTCTTTTCATTCCGGGGAACCCTCCCGTTCTTTTAAAGCGTCGCTCGATGCACCGTTTAAAAGAAAATACAACCTGGCTTCATTCTTAGCCCTCCTGTAGTGGAAGGCGCTGCCTGTCGCGGACATTTGGGGAGGGTCCGGCCACGCCAGCGTTGCCCCAAGCTGCTGTCCCCCCCCTCCGGTCCGTGTCCCCGCAGCGGCACAGCGCGGTTCTCGGCTTTGAGTCTTCCCGAAGCTCGATCCCCCCCATCGCTGACGCGTCCCCCGCTGGCCACGGGCACCTCCTCAGCTGCCGACTCTCAACTGACCGAAAAAAAGGGCAAATTCACCCAAATCCATGTCCGGCTGCTGCCACAGAGCTCCGGGTGGGCTCTCGCATGCGCATCACCGGGGCTGTAATTCCGAAGGGCTTCTGTTTTCTTTCCAAGGGCTGCTACTGGTGCCATGCTAACCCCTCCCCGGTAGGAAGGTGACCAGTGGACCACTACCCAGCTGTACTCGACGTAGCCGTAGCATTCAGTTTACATACAGCACAACCCGTTTGCCTTACTAAAGACGCTTCTCCAATGAGTCGTGGCCTTATACTGGGCATGTTAGCGTAGGCACAGACTACAGTTAGCGACGGTTTTGAGGCCACGGTGGTGTTCTGTTGGGTATTTTGTTGTTGGGTTTGTATGATTTCATGTACTTATTCTCAGTTTAAGAAAGCCTTACTCTTTAAATTTTTTTTTTTTCTTCTCTCTCTCTGTAGAGGTAAAACATTTGTGGATTTATATATATATAAATATATATATAAATAAAGTAATTAAAAATATTAAATATAATATAGTATGTGCCTCAGATTCAGGGGACATCCTGTTGATTGTAAAGTCAGAAGTGGCGTTGCTCCCCGGCATCAGGAGATCTGTACCCTATGCCCGCAGCGACCGCAGCAGGAGAGCAGGGCATCCCCCCGGGGGTCCCGCTCTTGGTTTGTAAAGGATTTCACCTATTACAGACGCTTTGGTAACCCCCCCCGGCAAATTCCTGCCGGCTGTCAGAATGTGATATTAAAGTAATATGCAGACAAGGGATGCTATTCCTTGCTAGGTAGCTAAAGCAGGCTTATTATTGTGAAAAGACTCGGTTGCTTGTCCAAGGCGTGACCCAGACTGGCCAGCAGCCGTTTCAGGATGACAGCAAGCTGTGTCAGCAGCAATAAGGGTTCATCAACCTGAAAAAACCCAGAATTTTAATAGGAAAAGTCTTAGCACGTGCACGGGGAGTTTGCTGTGTGTTTGCAGATGCAGCTCGTTGAGCCTGTTCTATGAAAGATTACATAAAAAAAAAAAAAAAAAGAAGTATTTGTAAAATAGATTGTAATTTTTCCACGTTATAGCATAGCCTATTTGGCCAATAAAGTTGTGTTTCAAGTGCATTGTTTAAAAGCTCCTGGCTGAACAGGCTAACAGACTTACGTAGGATGTTATAGGATTGTAGCAGTGCTTTACAGCGTTTATGGGTTTGATGTTCAAGAAATCAAAAGAAGAGGATGGCCAAAAAAAAAAAAAAAACCACCAAAAAAAAAAATTATTAAAAAAAAAAAGCCTTCTGAAGCTATGACCTGTAGTAGCCAAGTCTCGCTGGTAATTGCACAAGCGCAGCGGGACGCGCGTGTCCCCGCGGAGGGGCTGCCCTCTCCCCGGGTGGGCGAGGAGGCTGCCCACTCGTACCCCCTCCACGACTTGATTGCACTAGAGCAGCTCAGTCTCAGGAAATTGCTTGTTACTTTTACTGTGTAAATAAAGCTTCCTGGTTCAATAACCCCCCGCCGGCGTCTCGCCTCTCTGTCCTGTCCCCGCGGCCGGGCGCTGCTGCGGGGGTCGAAGGCGTTGGGGACACCCCGTGCCCCTCGGGGACATAAGGAACAGTCGGGTTGTGGGACCGGTTGGAGTTTGATGGGACAGAACTGGGTGCGGGAGCCCCCACATCCCTCTCCTTTCTTGGAAGGGGTCTGGCTGCATCTCCTTGGCATCTCCATGGGTGCTGGGGAACGGGGGGGGGGGGGTGTCCCAAAAATGGGTGTGGGTTGGGAAAGCCCCTGGCTGGGACCCTCCATTGGGGTGTCTGTGTTAGAAACAGTAAGGGTGTCCCAACCTCGGGTTGCGCCGGCAAAATGGGCATTTTGTGATGTTCACGTGCAGGCAGACGTGATGCACCCCCCCACCAAGGTGGGGGGATGTCTCCCATGGCCCCCCCAGCCTGACGCTGGCTGTTATTTAGCTGTAACGCAGCCGAAGAGGTAACAGCGAAATGCAAATCAACATTTAAGTGCCAAGTAACACCTTATGCTTCGTGTTTAAGGACAGACGTAATGCCCCACCCCTTAAAATAAAATCTAAACTCAAGCAAGGCAAGAGCCCACAGCAGGGCAAGGGCACACAGCGGGTGTTAAATAAATTCTTGGCGAAACAGGGCGATACCTCCCTACAGCCTTTGTAAACCAGAAAGGAAAACGGCTGCGTTTCCTTGAGCGAGCAAACAGTTTAAAAAGTTTCATGACAGATGGCAGGATGTTTATCTGCCTAAACTTAATCAGATTGAAGTGATAGGCTTAGTATACTAGAACAAAAAGGAAGAATTATAGGATAAAAAAATTCTCTGTGAGCCGTCACAGCCCTGACGTTCGACCAGGGTTTGCGGCATCCTTCGCGTGTGCACGGATGCACACAGTGCTGTACACTTTGGCTGAACGCTACCCAGAGGATAAAAAGATACAAAAACAGACCAAAAAATTGCACTAAGGTCATTTTCCCAGATGTGGTTTATTTTATTATAATTTAATTTCTAGCCCACTTTCCCCTGCTGTCCCCAAGGGGTGCCGTGCAGCTCAGCGGCCAGCTGGTAATTCTGAAAAACAAGGATTTCCAATATTCACAGGCTGCTCCAGGACACAGAGCATCATTTTGGTGTCCTTCAGTGACCAGGGTCATCCTCAGCTGTTGGAACTGCTGGAAATGTAGCTGGAATTACCGTTCACCTCCCGCTTGCAAATGCAGAAAGCAGCAGCTGAATGCAGACAGTGGCCAGAGCACACTGCCTGAGCATATGTGTATATAAATATATATCACACACAGATAATTGCATACCTTCCCACGGTCCCATGGGAAGTCTGAAGCAGGTTAAAGCCTAAACAGTCTTGTTCCACTACAGTCTAAAGCACAAAGTCTTGCCCAAAACCCAAGGGGCTGCAGAGCTGCTGACGTGCTGGTTAAAAGGGGATTTTTGCCTCTAAAAGGGTGACCCTTGCAAATGCTGGCAAGCATCGGTGAAGCGGGGCAGAGGATGTGATGGAGCAACTCCCAATCTCTAATTCTGCTCCCTGGTTTGAGCTCCTATCCCTGCCATGCTCTTGCTATGTGCAGTAGCCAGGTGTTACCATGTATGCTGCAATATCTGCGCTGCAAAACTCTTGGGTGAGTGAGAAACTAAAAACCCTGGGGATCTGCTGGAGTACCGCAATGCCCAGCAGCAGGGCAACACTCATTTTAGCAATGTTTATTCTGATTAGAAAAAAAAAGACAAATCTCATGTCCGTCCCTGTTCCATGGAGCATCACTTGGCAGCCCCGCACATGCTGAGCACTCCCTGGCAGCAGGATGGGACTGAGCTGGGGCCAAACTGATGCGGCGGGTGCTCGGCAGGCAAGTGGTGCTGGCTCTGGTGCAGGATCAGTCCCGGGGGATGTTCAGTGAGCAAACTGGGTTTGTCCCATTCAGGTGGCTACAGCCATCAGGCAGTAACGTATGCCTGTGTGGTTTTGGTACCCAGGAAAATTGGAGGAAAGTTTAGCAATGACTAGTGAGAAGGAAAGAAAGCGGCTGAACGTTTCCACGTAGTATTTATAAAGCAGAATTTATAGTCGTGGCAGGAGGACTGATGGAGCTGGTGCTTTACTGAGACTGGTTCCCAGTTGGGACTGGAAACTTAAAAGCCAGGAGGGCCAGCATTGGCTGGAGCCGAGCTGCCCGTGCTGGCTTTCCCGGCAGGGATTTTAATGGGAAAGGGTGGGAAACCCACGTTACCCTCCACAGCCATGTCTGCCTGCGAGACCCGCAATGGAGAGAAGGAAAAGCCGGTCGGTCCCACAGCCCTCGCCAGCTTATTCCAGCCAGGGAAAAGCATTGCGGATCCTCTAAGCATCCCTGCCAGCGCTGATGTGGACTGAACACAATAAACGGGCCAGATCCACAGGACAAGGCTTATTCCCGACAGGACAGCGCGGTTATTCTGTAATGTGTCACAGCGTTACTGGATTCCCGAGCCCTAACCCGAGGCAGTGCCGGACAGGGGCTAATTGTGGCAGAAACACGGTTACCAGCTTGCCAAGGGTGCAGGGGCTGGCCCCCTCCCCAGGGTTTTTGTGCCACCCATAGCAAGAGGCACACACAGGACCCTGCAGAATGGGGCTGGGCCGGTGTGCTCCAGGGCTTGGTGGCCTCCATCGCTCCTCAAGGACATGCCCCATCCCATCACAGGCACCCCAAAAAGGCACAGTATGGGCAAGTTAAACAGAAAAGCCTGTTCATGAAGGGGTGCTGGGTCCCCCATTTCCCACCTGGGCACCTCCAGGCTGGGTCCCTGGCGTGAGCGAAGAGTTAAAGGGGGGTACAGCCCCCTGAGCATCGCCTGGAGGAGGCAGAGGCTCCTCATCCACCACCCTCAGGGCTCCCCTCGGGCAGACAGGGCTCAGCCCCAGCCGGGGAAGAGCCTGGCGCTTTTGGGAGAGCTGATTTTGCCTGCACTGGCATGGGCACGGCACCAAGGGGAAGACATTCAAGACGTGCTGGAGGACAGCAGGTTTGGTGTTCCCTTTGATGAGGTCAGTAGATCATTTTAGTACCATTACGTGAATTATTTAGGAAAACGCAGGCGTTGGCCACCCTGGGCAAGGCTGGGTCTGGGTCCGTTAACGTTGGATGGAGGTGGGAGAGGACGAAGCGGCCTCGCGGAGGGGCTGCGTGCGAGGCCTCGTCCCCGTTCCTTCCGATCGCCCACGGCACCGTCGGTTTTACAGCTGCTGGAGGATAACATCAACCGCTTCGGCAAGGTTGTTCACGTACGCATCGGGCTTCACGTGGGGGTGGTTTTCATCGCAAGGCCTGCAAAGTAGACAGAAGGGCATGGCTGAGCACGGACGGGTTCCCGACCAGGTCCCACGTCCCCGGCAGTCCCGCTGCTGCTGCACCCACAGAGCCCAGGGCAGTGCCGAGGTGGCCCCAGATGGAGCACCCTCGGGTGAGCCTGGGCTTCACATTCCTCCCTCTTCTGTTCTTTTTTCCCCTTTTCCCCCTTCTCTCCCTACCTCCCCCCATACCCAGGTCTTTCCTGCATGCAACGGTAGATCCCATGTCCTTGTGCAGCTGGGCTGGGCAAAACTTCACAAAGCCTTGTATGAAAGACAATCTACACGGTTAACTAACTAATCCAAATTAATGCACTGCATTTTACATGGCACTTCTTCGTTCAGGCAATAGCAGTATCAGTCAGGGATTGCTGAGAGGACACTTTGCTGCAAGCCTAGGATCCTACTAAACTGCAAATAATTATTCTGCCATAGTTTTCCTCTAGAAATAGGTAAAGAAAAGAACTCACTTCTGACCCAGAGACATGAAAGGTCTGTACATAGCTTCAGCGAACGGGAGGGCTCTGTCAGGGTTTAATTTTGCAGGATGACAATCGTCTTGTAAATCTAACAGTGGGGGTTTCAGACGCTACCATGAAAAGGGTCAGACTCAACCTCCACTGCAAGTCACCACCCCAAAGCAGAGCGGCTTGAAGCCATTTTTTGCCAATAATTTAATTAGAGGTACTGGCCTAACGAGGCACAGATGCACAATCCTATTTTACTGATTCAGCAGCATTGCTGGGGGGGGGGGCAGATGTGGGAGGCAGAAATTTTCCAGACCTCGTGGTCCTGTTATGGCTCTTAGGCTGAGAAACCCAACAGCTGCTGAAGAGAAAACATATGTATTTTATACGCTTAATGGCTTTCCTTTGGGAAAGAGATGAGAGCCTTAATGTCCACCTCCCATCTCTCTCGCTCCCTGTAAAGGGCAAACCTTTATTTAGCACAGACCGATTTCTCAGTGGGGAAGATGCATTTCCCATCGGATGCATGGGAGGCAGAGAGATTATTATTATTATTATTTTTATTATTATTTATGATGTGCAGAATTTGGTGAGCACTTGTCTGTACAAGTACCAACTTATTTCTTCAGTTCCAGCACTGAAGCTCCCCAGGGCTATTTCCTTTCTGTTCATTTTTCAGCCATGATCTCACGTCCGAGCACACAAGCTCCTTGCAAAGGCACGGCCTCTTTCAGGAGCTCATGCTGCTTGAGATCTTACTTGCTGCAAAGGTACAGTATGCAACAAGGAAAGATAAGACACTGATATTCAGCTTTCCCTGTGTCACCTGCAAAGCTGTGTCTGGCACAAGGACAATGGCTCCATGAAATGGACTCTACGTTGGTGCTGGCTGTCATAAAAGCATCGTATTTAAAAGGTGGAAGGTTATTCCATGGGTCTTTTTATTTAATTATCCAAATTCTATCATCTCGTTACAGGGCTAGGGTGCAATAAGAACAGTAATTATGATGGTTTTTAGGTTTTCCTCAACTGAAGAAGAATTTAGATTGCTGAAGGCAGAGCAAGTGATAATACACAATGGAGAAAAACCTTCAAATATAAAGCAAGTAAAAATCCAGTCTGTATCCACCCCTTAGGTGGCGATTATTGCTCACCCCCTGATTTAACCAAGTAGCTTTTATGAATACAGAAATACCTTTGGGAGGATGTGGTAAAATACTGATTTCTTGGCAATAACCCTTAATTTGAGTGCAGATTTTTAAAAAGTAATGAACAAAACTTCTTTCTAGTCTACACCCTGAATAATGTTTCTTTCCTAGCTTATACAATAGGAGAAAAGTTTAAGAACTCCTTGAAACAAACGCTTCTACAAGAAATTTTCAATTACACAGCACTCTGATCTATTAAAAGAATTTTGTGATTGATATCTGTGCTGACTATACAGAAATCCACCTGTAACTCAGCTGCTAAATGCCAGTCATGAAGAAAATGCCCTGTATACACTAAATGTGTGCTGCAGAAGGGGTGGCTGTATAGAGATATATATACTGCAGTAAAACAAATTAGGAAATGAGGTATTTTTACCCATTTGCCCAAATAACGTGTGAAGACAACACACAGGCTGGCCAGCCATCAACTCCTGGCTCCAGCGAGGTTAAAACCCCCTTTAGCTCCCGGGGAGTTACGAGTTCACCCCTGCGCGTTGCCCAACCGCCCCCCGCCCCACAGGACCGCTGGGGTGGACATGAGCTTCATTTTTTTATCTGCTAACCCCTATTATTCATCCGAGCCCGATTATTTCTCTTCTGCTTTGCAGTCTGATACCCTACAGGCTTACAGCCGGGAACCCTAAAACACCCTTCTGCTACCGATGCTGCAGCCAGCCTCACTCACAATGCAAGGGTTCCGATAGTTTTAATAATACTTCACTGGTGTTATCCAGAAGAAAAAAAAAACGGGAGGAATACGCAGCCCTTACGCAGCCGATGTGTCCCCTTAAAGCAGACGGGGTGCAGCAGAGCCCAGCGGTTCAGCAGATGCCTCCCTTGCCTGGCCCGGCTCCAGCCAGGACCCCACTTCTCTGCCGTGGTGGGGACCGGCCCGGGGACACCGCGCCATCCCCACGCCGGCCATGCCTACCCCCGGGCTGGAAAGTGTACTTCATTTCAGCCCGTGGCATATTTTGGAGTTATACTTTTGAGGCATGTCATATGTCTTAGATTACCTATACGCTCATCGCTGCTAAGTGGGGGGGGGAAATGCAATAAACAAAATTGTCTGAACTCTGTAGGAAAGCAGAGAACTGGAATAAAACACACTTCCCTGCTCTCTTGCCTTCTCCTACGGCCATGCCAAGGAGCTTTTCCTCCTGTCAGTGCCACCCCAAGAGCTGTTTCATGTGGCCTCTTCCTTTGTCTCGCAGAACGCTTTGTAGCTCACACAACTGCACACAAATAGCCAAGCGATGGCTTTTTTTTTTCCCCTCTCTAGCTCAGTACTGCTCTTTTAAGCATCTGTCGAAAGGAAACTGCAAGCAATAATCCCCCAACACTAATGCCAAGAAGCAACACTCCAAATGTAGCAGAACAATTCAGGAGCCCGAGTCTGGGTGCCAGAAGTGAGGCAGAAAAGAGAGCTCTGCCATAAAACCTCCGGGCAAAACCAAGATGCTGGAGGATGAGCCCTTCTTCTGCCGTCCGAAGGGAGCAGAGACCGTGGCTCTATGCCAGCCTCTCCCCTGGGGCATTCGGGCTGTTTCCCAGGAGAAACCCCCAGTTATTGAGAGTTTTAAGATACCCTTCAGTGGAGCACTGCTCTGGAACTCAGCCCCAATGTCCTGGGGGTTGCTTTGGTGCATCAGAGCCTCCCTGGACAGGACCACCGGGTGCAGGTGGAAACTTCAGCCAAGAGCAGATCTCGCTCTCATGGTTTTAGCTTGGCTTCTCTTCCAGTCACAATGACCCTTTTTGCATTGCATGATGGCAGACATCACAGCAGCAGGTCACAAAACTGACAGTGGAGGTTACTTTTTAGAACTTTGCTCTTTCATGTTCCAGAAATAAATAAAAAAATCTAAAAATATCTTTAATTTGCTAGGTCAGTTGAAGAATAAACTTGCATTGAGCTAACTTTAAGATAAACTCCTTCTGATTTTTTTTTCACATGGGACGCTGGTTACAGAGAAGAACATAAATCAAAATGACAGAAAATTATATTCTGTAGCTGAATATTGAGCTGTCAGCAGTCTTGGCCAGTGCACAAACTCACTTGTGAAAAATCAACCACAGCCTTGGGAAACACTCTCTTCGGTAAAGCAGGACTCCTTGGAGGGTCTGAGCACCACAGCCCGGATGTGTACACAAGGAACATTTTCCAGCCCAAGTTGGCCAGGACAGCTGTGAAATGTGGCACTTCATTTCTGCATCACCTCTCCATGGCCACCTTGCTGGTATATGAAGTGGTCAGGGAAAGAAGTGGCTTAGCACAGGGACCCTCTGAAATCCAGGGTGGTCCTTCTTGGTCCCTACAGGCACACATGATCTGTGCCTGCCCTTCTGCACACAGGGCAATGTTAGGAGAATATATTCTTCAAAAGAAAAAGTCATCCAAAATGATCTGTACATAGTAACACATTAAAGATATGAAGTATCTTTAGCACGATGCAACACGGACAGAGGTCTTGAGACTTGGTAGTCACTCACGTCCATCAAATCATCCTCAGGAGATGACTAAACATCCTCCTCTCCCAGGGACCATTTATCACTGTCAGTGCTGCAGAAGCTGAGCAGCTATCTGTAGCCCCATGTGTTCTGAGCCAGATCCTCCGCCCATACTAAACTGGTTAGTTCAGATCAATGCTTCAGTCTGAGACATCAAGGAAGCAGCAGGGTGCTGCAGAAAACTGGCTCTGCAATTTTAACTCTTCACTCGGTCACTTGGTAAGAGAAGCTCCAGCATGATATCAGGGCTACTGACTAGCAGAACGCGATGGCTTCCTCCTGGTGAAGCATAAAACCAAATCCTAGATCATAAGGGGCAGTAAAAAAATCAACTTCTGCAAGAATAAGAAGGTTCACTTACTGTCTGGGTCAGATTTCCACTTGGATAGGTCTGTTCTGACAAGCTAAATTCCCTACCTAGACTCAGCTATCAGGAATGGTCTTGAATTGCCCTGACCTGCTATGTAATTTTCTGCGATGGTTCACCCGGATGCAGCTGAATATCCGTGAGGGATGAAGGGATCCACTAGGAGTCTTTAAAGTGAATGAAGCAAATACATGCAGAAGAGACTATTGCTAGGGACAGCGTAAAAAGATGCCTCGAAAAACACAGACTTTGAGTTAACCCTTTTCTTTCCCATACCAGTTGGGATTCCGGGTTTAGTCTGTGGGTCGAGGTGGGCATCGGGCACTGCTGGCAGTCGGCTCTGAATGGCACTCTCCTGGGGGACCATTTCTGCAGAGGGAATTGAAGCTGCAGAATGTCTGTGAAGCAAAGCATGTGGCTGGGT